TCCAGGGCATTCAGCTCTGTGTGTTCTTGCTCGCCCGCAGGATCGATGAACGTACCCATGAAACTGCGAAGAGAACCGGGTTGGTGTAAAACACAGCTGGATGTTTCTGCGCGGCGGGTTCACTCGACGGCCCATAATCCTCTCCCAGAGTGAGCGCTAACTCGGCCAGCGCCGTCAGGAGCAGCAGCCCACACACAACCTGGAGGAGCCGAGGACAAACGAGCTTGAGAGAACAGCGTGGCGTTCATACACAAACCTAAACGACGTCCATCCAAACATCAGACGGATCTGCACTCAACAATGTGCTCAAAACCTCACAGAAATGATGATATTCCAAAAAAGTATGAATGAGTAAAAATTTTATTCATTTCATTTATTTATTTATTTCAACAGGAACAATGTGCAAAAAAAGACATTAATTAAAGATGCTTTGCACCAGATTTAGCTTAAGCTAGTTTCCATCTGCAGTCCCGAGCAGTCAGATGTCAAATGTTTTTGTGGCTTGATATATAAACTGATTCACTATTATTTTAAAAGGTCATAAAAGATAGATTTAATTATGATACGAATGTTAGATAATGGGTTGTAAAGATGCACTTAAACATATAACATCATGTCCTTTGTTTGTAGTAACATTTGTTGTATGTTTACATCAGTAGGATTACGGTAATGTCCTGGCTCTTGATAGACTTGAAATCGAACAGGTTTCCGCCCCAGTGGACATGTACTGCCTATTCACATTAAGAACGATAACTAGAACTACATTAGCATCAACAGCAGCACACAATATCTTTCTGTTTATTTTAAGCGCGGTGTCTCTTTAACTGCTCGAGCTCGTTAAAGCAACATGGATCCTGATTGGCTGTTCTTAAAGTGAATCCAGCATTATAGAGTGCCGAAGTGATGACGTCACTCGGAAGCTAGCGGCGCACGGGTTCCCTCGGTCGAAAAGCAATACGTTTTCCCCATAGACTTTTGGAAAATCGCAAAAAATAAGATCTGTGTTTAACAAACGGTTATGACACGTTTTGTCTATTTTGTAAATTCAAAATGTATACATTTTGAAGCCTATATAAAGATTTTAAAAACACAATCAGACACAATAAAGTTTAAAAAAAACACAAGCAGGTTATAACTGTGTGTTCTGTGTCAAAGATCAAAACGTGAAAATATTCACCACAGACCTTATTTCAGGCGATTTAGCAAAATCCCATTCAAAAATCACATAGGCTTTAGAGCGAGGGAACCGTAATGCTAAAATGCTAACTCACTTCCGCGTTTTGGCCTACAGAGTGACGTCGTAATAACATGTTATTATTATTCTTATAGACCCTTTTACAGTTGGTGAACATGGGGACGTTTTTATGTGGGCGGAGCTTAGGTGGAGGCAGAACGATCCCTCTGGCCGCTTCACTAACGCTAGTTAGCAAGGATTGTTAGCTTGTTTTTTAACAATGACTGGAGAAAATACAATATTATCTTAATGTGTAAGGTCACTCAGTGTCCAGGACCGCGATTGTTATTTCTAAAAGTTATTTTTAACGGACGGACCCAGATTGGCCGACCCGTAGCCGCCTACACGCTCACTCAATGATGGACGATCTGACAGGATTAACGTTACGTTACCTCGGGTGAGTGGCCTGACTTCTACACCTACCTTATAGAGAAACTGATCGTAAAGAGAAACTGAGGGCATATAAATCTTTAGATGCCTATATGGTCCTGTACAAGACTTGCGTGTACGATCCGCAGTTCTGCCGAGCCAGCGCCGAGACCACGACAATGTAAACAGTGACATTACAGTGCGATTTTAATGGTGTGCATATTTTAATGATGAGCATATTCATTTTTCATCAATTCTTGCACCAAACAACACAACAAGATGACATTTAATAATAGCAACAATAATTTAAGCTCCTTATTATGTAGCCGAATCTGTGCTGGTTTGTATTGGCCGCCTCCAGTTTTCACTTTGTTTTGCCTCCAGCTAGCGCCGTGACGTAACTGTGACTTATTACAGTAAGAAGTTTCCACTTGATATTTATTCGACTGTGTTTTAAATTTTATTTTAAGGTGTCATTGTTACAGTGTATTTACATATTTAAGTATTGAGTAATATTAAGCGACTACATGGACTTACTATATACACTGAGCCAAATTATGAATGCAACACTTTTGTTTTTGCCAATATCCAGCAACTTCACACAGCCGTTGAAGAGGACCGGGCCGACATTCGACAGGCCACAATCAACAACCTATGCGAAGGAGATGTGTCTGGACAGGGGACTGGACACATCTCTTGATTTCACCTGTTTGCAGATGTAGAGTCGTGAGGCCGGAGCTTTGGCAGATTTCTTGCAGAAACTGGTGAAGTGCCACGGAGCGCAGAGCCAGAGGAAGAACAAGGGGAACCAGACCAGAACCGTCCTCTCCACACACACCGGCAGATCCGGGTCCGGCCGCTGCACGTACGAGGCATTCTGACACACACACACACACACACACACGTGAGTGAGTGAATGAACGGCATGACAATCTGGCCAGAGTTCAACTCAGAGGAGACATCCTGATGTTGCTGGGTGTGTGTGTGTGTGTGTGTCAATGATTAAATCTGTTATTGTACTAAACACTTATAAAAGTGATAGCCTCCCCATATAGCTTTTATGACTATCATATGCAATGTCATGATCTAACACACCATGTTTTTTGTTTTGTTTTCATAAATTACCCTGCCGCTTAAGATCATACATTAATTCACAGTTTTTATCTGTCACACACGTTTAGGTTTTCTTATCTTTTGAACATGAAGTATAAATTAAGAATACTGGGTAAACATCGCTTAATCTGCTTCAATTGATTCATTTCAAAATGTTGATAGTCAGCTACATTAATAAATGGAGATGTAATTCTAGATATTAGTCTATTAAATGTGTATTTAAAAAATCACTTTCATTAAAACAACTTTAATTTACAATAATTATGCGTAAGACTTTATTCGTTTCACATATATTGAAATAACTTGCATCAATACTGATCAGAACCAGTGTTGATTTACGTTTCGTGAATAGGCTAAAGAATTAGCTTTTATTTTATATTTTTAAAGTTTTACATTAATAATTCTAGTTTAAATTTTAGCCATTTTGTCATGTGCTTTGCTTATTTATAGTTATGTATTAGTATTTTTTTTTAAATATTGTTATTTAGGTTTAATTTGTTTTTATTTTTATTTGTAGTTAATAATTTGAGTGCTTCAACTTCAACTTATTTCAGTGTATTGCCAAGGCAACATTTCTAATTTTCGTTTAGTTTTTAAGTTTTTTAAATAATATTTATATTTTTATATTCATGAATGTTCAGAAATGTTTTGAGCAGTTTTATTTAACAATAATCCTGCTCAGAACCAACGTCAGTTGTCTTGGAAAACAAAATATCTTTTACAAAATAATGATAAAGTAAAAATGTTTAATTTGTAGCATTTTGTGTAGAACGGTCAAATTGTGGTATGTTCCAGCAACATAATTTGACCCTGAGCGAAGTTTCACATTCATAAAATGAAATGGTCTGACTCCAAACCTAATTTTTCTTGCTTTAAAAATGATGTTAAGCTTTATTGTTCTCTTTTGTGTAACTGCACAAGTAAAAAGGCAATTAGAGCTTATAGCATTGTAAGCAGATATGCTATATAATGTAGCACCCCTTTTCTGTTTGTAATACTGTATATTTTTTTATCCTCTGGCACTGTTCTTTTTTTATTTTTATTTTTTTTTATTTACTTTGTTTTTTTTTGTTTCACTTTGAAGGATTATGTCTCATTGTATTGTTCTGTTCATGGCATTAATAAAAAAGAAAAAGAAAAAAAATCACAACGCAAAATACACGTTTTTGGAATAATTAAAAAAAATAAAAATAAATTTGACCCTGAGCTGGATACAATGTAATTTCGATCCTCTTTTCCTGAATTCCCTACGACTTTATCCTGTTGTATTGTGGACTGTATTATCATTCAGAACTTAGAAATCGGAAGATTAGAGACACAAAACTCACCCAGAAAACAGAGCCGCAGTATTTCTCTAAAGCAGCAGACATGTTTCTTCCATCCCTCTGCCCAGCAGCAAACACAGAAGATGCTTTTCTTCCACTGAACACCACAATGATCCTCTCAGCGCTGGAGTTATTACTCTTGCGGACACGTCACATAAACCTCGAGGTGATCCTAGCCTGAACTCTGGTCTTCTGAGAGATGTCCCCCACATCGGCTCCTCTAACTGAGGGACAGTGTCGTCTCAGAGCTCACAAATGCACACAAATATAACCTTTCCCCACTTATTATAACAGCCCAGAGATTACTACTCAGTTTTCATTACTCACCAGTCTAAAGTCCAGGTGCACCATGGTTATGTAGACGTGTGGAGGCGGAGGGATGGACACTGACACACACACACACACACACACACACACACACACACAATGGGAAACAGCTATTTTCCGTTTTCTTTTCTCTTGCTTGTGTTGTTGTAGGTAGGGTTTCCTGCCATTATAAAATCATTAAAGAAAGATAAACAAAGGATGGCTACTTATGGTCAGTCTTGTGTAACAAACATATTATAGTTATATTCATGGAATTATTATCAATATGTTTGATTTAAAACATTGCCACACTTTATTTCCAATTATTTTCCAATTCAAACACTTTACTTAAATTCAAAATAGCAAACAGGAACGGGTACAGGCAGGAAAACATTAACATCGACCGACCAAGACTCAAGGAATCAAACATAATGAGGTGCAAACAGGTGAAAATGATGAAACAATACGAGGAACAGGTGGCTAATGAGTTCAGGAGAGGAGACAAGAGGATCCTGGGGAGTGTAGTGCAGACGACGGACTGTGACACCTGAGAGCTAGTTGACATTATTTATAATCAAAAGAATGTCCAATGGCAGAATATCAAAATAAAGTATAAGCAAAACATTTATTTAAATGATATAAAAAAACAAATGTAATGTAATTTATTTAGGATGTTTTTAATCCCGCAAAAAAAATGCAACACACACAAATAAATTAATAATTATCTGCACATTCTTGCTTTATAGATTAGATTAGGTTATTGTTGTGCAACGAAAACATCACACTAAATGCTGTCTATTCAAAAGCTGATACATACCAACCAAGGGTTAGGGTATGAAGAAGAATATATAGGCAGTGTATATGTATAAAATACAACTTAAATTCTTCAAAATACTGTAAGACAGGTGTTTTTTCACATTGCGATCTTCTGCCTACTGATAATGTTTACAGTTAATCATTACATCTGTCAGGATAAGACACAGTGTGTGTTGTGAGTCAATGAACATTCAAGGACACATCAGCATGACAGGCAAAAAGACAATTACACAGCATTTTGCTGCATAATTGCTTTTTTTCATGAAAAAGATTTTTTTTGTCCCACGTGGCTTTAAGTACAAACCACTTACAATGAAATTAATAATTTGGTACAATGGATGTTTTTACATTGTACTTACATTTAAAAAAACAGCTGTAGTTTATGTAATTACTTGCTGAATCTTCCCTTACACCGTAGCCCACCCTTAACCCAACCTATACAGGCACACCTGTCCCTAACCTTACCCGTATCACATCTCAATAGCAGCAAAGATGTTTTACAATACGACATGAACACAGTAAGTACATTGTACAGTTTGTCGATGTATGTATAGTAGTTAATAAAGTGAGATCAAAACGCCTTACGTTACGTTACGCATTTAACCCGGTTCCCAGAGAAAGGGAAGGAGACTATGGGGACGCCACGCTTGCTACGCCATGCTAACCAATGCTAGCTTGTTCTCGAAATAAACAATCTAAGCACTAAAGCTCAGAGGCGACTACGCCATGCTAACCAATGCTAGCTTGTTCTCGAAATAACAAGCAATCTAAGCACTAAAGCTCAGAGGCGACTATGCCATGCCGACTACGCCATGCTAACCAATGCTAGCTTGTTCTCGAAATAACAATCTAAGCACTAAAGCTCATATAGGCGACTACGCCATGCCGACTACACCATGCTAACCAATGCAAGGTGACCTGAACCATGACAGTACCCTTCCAACTAAGATCGCCTCCTGGACAATTTACATGTTGATCGTAATCATCAATCAGAGTGTGATCCAATATAGACGCTTTTCCACCGTCGGTCCGAACGGTTCTTATAAATGTTGAGGAACCGTTCCTGATGTGTTCCAGTTCATTGTTCGTAGTCAATATTTTCTAGGTAACAACCCAGATAGCAAACTGACATTGAATCAACGTGGAAATATGACATCGAAACAACATTGATCTGACATGGTTTTGCTCATCGAATTAACGTTGAACCAACGTCAGATGCGTTATTCTTTCAAAACTAACGGAAAATCAACTTGAAATCAACGTTGTTTCAACGTTATGAAAGCAAACCAATTTTCGATGTTCATTTAGCTTTGAAGAATGCCGCGTCTGACGTTGGTTCAACGTTAATTCGATGAGCAAAATCAACGTTGTTTCAATGTCATGAGAGACGTCGTTTCCACGTTGATTCAATGTCAGTTTGCTGTCTGGGAACCAAAAATTTTAAAAAGTGAGTTGAAAAGTTATTGTCATCATCATCATCATCATCATCAAGAGTAAAAAAAGTTCAATTTACAAAGAGAATCAAAAGTATCGTGAGATTTTATTTCACACCTGCAATCATCTCATGATCTTGACATCTACAACTGTTGCTTTAAATCGTCACAGAGCAGTTTCACAGTAATTTCCTTATTGAAGAAGAAGAGTTTGTACAGGAGTGTTGCAGGATGCTAGAGTGTGTTCCTCGCGATGGCGTTCAGCGTCCGTACTTTGGTCACGTCGGCCACTTTCACTGCATACTCCGGTACAGACAGAGAGCCTCCCATACTGACGTTATAGTTCCTACACAAGAACAACACACAACGAGTCCTTACAAACGCATTCAAATAAGTTAAAACAACTAAAATTCAAGATATGATGCGTCAAGGCGTTATCAGTCTTATGGACAGCGAGAGTAGAGTTGAGCACCTGAACTTCATGCTGGAGTCTTTGCTGGAGCGAGCGGAGCAGTGAAACTCCTGAGCGCCCGAGCCCTCGAGGATCCTCTGAAGGTTTCTCTCGGTGATTCCCCCGCCTGTACACACACACACACACACACACACACCAGCAAGAGCTCGTCTGGACACTGCAGGTGTTATTACATTAACGAGGATCTAGGTTCAAACATACCTGGCATTATTGCTATTCTGTCTTTTGCCTATTAGAGCGAAGAGAGAAAATGCATAACAGTTGGAATGTTTTGTCATAAAAGCAAAAATAATATGACGCCAACAAGTCAAAATATCCATTCATAACATCTGTGCACAACATTTTCAGCGCACTTGTCATAAAGCTACTCTGTGTCTGTTTCGGGACAGCCTTCGATGCTCTGCTCAATCGCCACTGAAGGATGAAACTGAACTGATGCAGAACATCATACCTTCTAATGAACGTCTTTATTAGGGCTGTCCAATTAAAAGTTGAAATTCAAATATTCATCAAATTAAAAAAAAATGCACATTCGAATGCAAAAATCATCCATTCAAATTTTTGTATGTCAAGAATCGTGTGTGACATGATGATGGGTTAGGGTTAGGGTACGACTTTTTCTATGTCCACAAAAGGCCTATTCCTGTCCAATATTGTTCACAAATCTGTCTAAATCTGTGTTAGTGAGCACTTCTCCTTTGCCGAGATCATCCGTCCCCCTCACAGGTGTGGCACCTCAAGATGCGGATTATCAGAGAATGTCTAATTGAAGAGAATTGGCACTGACTGGTTACTTCCGGGTTCTGGACTGGCTGCAGTAACGCGTCTCTGTCCATGCGGGGGCGCTCACGGTCGAGTGCAGAATGAATGGGAGTCAATGGGGTTTCACCCCCAGAAATCCACTTTTCTCAGGATGTAATTTTTCGTCGAGTAATTTGAAAGTTGCATTCAAAAGGGAGGGCTAAGATAATACAATCAGCTGGAAATTGCATTTTTAAGTTCACTTATCTGTTCTAAAAATCCGTTCAAAAATGTGATGACGTCACACAATAGCAGAATGCTAGCAACAACAGCCTAACCTGTAAGAAATTAAAAGGACATAAGCACTCGTTCAATCGACTTTTGGCCTATTATCTATATTGAACTTGCGGAATCAACAATAAAATCTACTGTATGTTAATTTAATGACAAGCAGGTGAAAGAGACACATTTAGCCGTTTAGCCCCATAGACTCCCATTCATTCTGCTCTCGCCCGTGATCACCTCCAGTGGAATTCTAATGGAACTGCAACCAAGATAATACACAACGGGGTTAATAGGAAGTGCCAAGGCTCTCCGTTAGACGGGCTCTGGGATTACACAGCAGGATTATTGCACAGGTGTGCCTTAGGCTGGCCACAATAAAAGGTCACTCTAAAATGGACTCCATTCAGCTGAAAGTAGTCCAGATGTCACCTGACCTGTTCCACCAGTCGTTTGATCACAGGCAAGCCTTCCAGTGCAGAGCTGTCACAGCCACTGGTCAGAACCCTCTCGAAGCCCAGCGAGACCAGAGCCTCCAGCGCAGCCACTGGATCCTGGACCATATCGAAGGCTGAAGGACACAGGACTCCTTCAGAGAACGACCCCTCATCACACACTCATCGTCATGTTCAGATCATGTTCGCTTACCTCTGTGGAATGTGACCGGTAGAGGTCGACAAGCCGCTGTGGAGAACAGAGATAAAACATCCGGCTGTTAGATAAATATATGCATTACTAAAACATGATGTGTTCACATTCCCACTTATAACAATTTACTTTGGGAGCAAAAAATTAAGAATAATTGGTAAAGGACAATTGAAGATAACACTTGGCAATTTTGCAAGAGATTTGGATCTCTGTAATCATACAATTCATTCATCACCCATCATTCATGATCCATTCACTCACTCATTCATTCATCCATCCTTCCATCCATCCATCCATTCTTTTTATCCATCCATCCTTCCTTCCATCATCTATCCATCTTTCCATCCATCCATCCATCCATTGATTCCTTCCATCCTTCCATCATCCATCCATTCTTTTTATCCATCCATCCATCCATCCATCCATTTATCAGTACTTCCATCCATCCATCCTTCCATCCATTCATCCATCCATCCTTCCACCCATCCATCAATCCTTCCTTCTATCCTTTCTTCCATCCATCCATTCATCAGTCCTTCCATCTATTCATCCATCCATCCATCCATTTCTCAGTCCTTCCATCCATCCTTCCATCCATTCATCCATCCATCCTTCCACCCATCCATCAATCTTTCCTTCTATCCTTTCTTCCATCCATCCATCCATCCATCCATTTCTCAGTCCATCCATCCATCCATCCATCCATCAGTCCTTTCATCCATCCATCCATCCATCCATCCATCCTTCCATCCATCCATCCATCCATCCATCCATCCATCCATCCATCCATCCTTCTATTCATCCATCCATCCATCAGTCCTTCCATCCATCCATCCATCCTTCCTTCCATCCATCCATCCTTTCACCTCCATCCATCCTTCTATTCATCCATCCATCCATCAGTCCTTCCATCCATCCATCCATCCTTCCTTCCATCCATCCATCCATCCATCCTTTCACCTCCATCCATCCATCCATCCTTTCACCTCCATCCATCCTTCTATTCATCCATCCATCCATCAGTCCTTCCATCCATCCATCCATCCTTCCTTCCATCCATCCATCCTTTCACCTCCATCCATCCTTCCATCCATCCATCCATCCATCCATCCATCCATCCATCCATCCTTCTATTCATCCATCCATCCATCAGTCCTTCCATCCATCCATCCATCCTTCTATTCATCCATCCATCCATCCATCCTTCTATTCATCCATCCATCCATCAGTCCTTCCATCCATCCATCAGTCCTTCCATCCATCCATCCTTCCTTCCATCCATCCATCCATCCATCCATCCATCCATCCATCCATCCATCCATCCATCCTTCTATCCTTTCTTCCATCCATCCTTCCATCCATCCATCCATCCATTTATCCATAAATTCAATCATTCATCCTTAAAAAACGTCTTTTCCTCTTTGGCCCAGAGCTGTAGGCGTCAGTGAGACTGCGGTGATGTTTTACCCATCAGCTCGACGCAGAGCTCAGTGTCCACTCGGCCGTCTCCCGTCAGCGCCCCGAACACCAGCCCGTCGGCCCGGTGACTCTTCATCAGCTCTATGTCCCTCTTCATCACCTCCACCTCCCAGTGCGAGTACATGAAGTCTCCTCCACGGGGCCGGATCATCACGTACACCGGGACCCGCACGCTCTCCTTCACCACCTGCAGCAGACCTGAGCACACACACACACGCTACTAACTAACTCAACCAGACCCCGCCCATTTATTCTGCGTATGAATTATTATAATGAAGGAATATTGTGACGTGTTCGTTCCCGGAAGACACTCAAGACTGCAATGGAGGCGTTTCAGAAACACTGACACTGATATAGAGAAGAACTGGAGCTTCTTCATGATCAAACAACATCACACACTTTATCGTCTGTGGTTTAAAAGGACCCCTCTGAACTGATGACAGAAAGTGTGTGTGTGTGTGTGTGTGTGTGTGTGTGTGTTGACCTGTGCTGGGCGTCGTCCCTCCCTCCAGCAGGTTACCGCACAGCTCGATACGACCCGCTCCTAAACACACACACACACACACACACGCAACAACACATGAGAGCTGCCAAAAAAAACAATTACAAAACACTCAACAGAAATATGCAATGTTCAACGCCACCAATCTGAGGATATATATAATTTTCACTAAACTATATTCAAGAATGTTTGTGAACTTGTACCTCCCCTCTCTGCGTTTACGGCTGACTCGACTGAGTCCACACACACCTCCATCAGGAGACCGTCACACATCTGAAACACACACACACACACACCTGCTGGCTTTACACTGCAAAACTGACACACAAGCTGCATATTACAACACTAGAGCCAGACCGATATATCGATATTATCGGCCGATATTAGGCATTTTCCAAACTATCGATATCGGCAGTTATAATGGCCGATAAATGAATACTTCAAAAATAAAATAAAAACGGACGGAACACACTTGAACCATGTCATGAGTGTTGGAGTTGGTTTGTCCACCAGAGGGCGCAATGTATGTCTTGTGAGTTGGTCACAAGACATACATTGCTTGAATAACAATTAAAAGAACATCCCAATCAGTTCTCTAAACTCAAATAAGGATGATAAAATTTGTGACTATCATGTCCAGTTTTGCTGCTGTTAAATAAGCCGAGAGTGAAGCGGAATCAGCTAGTATTAGTTAAGTTACGTTGTTACGGTGTAGTTGACTGACTGTCCTTTTAACTTTTAACAATGTGACTGAAGTATTTCTTTAATAGCGCGTGACAGTTATAGCAATGAGACGTATCATCTCTCCTTGGCCTGTTATATTGTAAATGTATGTTTTACAATTTGCAGTATGACGTAATCCATTGCTAAATTATGGCTCATCATAGACTAGCTAACCATAAAGCTAGCTAATGCCACTATCATCAGTCTGTTCGGTTTGACAATAAAAGAAACAAATTTCTTTTTAAAAGGCATTATCATATTATTTTTTATTTAAAACTAAATAACTACAAAATAACTAATGTTAGGGAAATCTGTTGTTTTGTTTCGCGTTTCTGAAATAAAAAAATAAATATAAATATCGGCCGATATATCGGAATATCGGATTTTAAAATAAAATAAAAAAATTGTATCGGTATCGGCCTTCAAAATCCTTTATCGGTCGGGCTCTATACAACACATAAACACACAAACTGAGAAGAGTTGGCATTTACACTGAAACCAAAAATGATTCAGACGACCAGTAAACTGATTCCTCCACTTAGATCTGATCATGTTCTGCTAAAGTGTGTTTTCTGTAAGTGCTAATGCTCTTTTTACACACACACTGAACAACATGAAGCATTGCTTGGTCACTGGTTGAGCTAAACTGGTATTATCTAATTGTCTAGTTAAATTTACCAGCTGACAGATATTCAACATAATTCATGTGTGAGAGTCCAACAGAAGGACGGACAAAACCAGTCAAATATCCACTGAGTTCTGCTCATATTTATTACCATTTTCTAAACTATAGCGATTAAACTGTGATAACGTGAGAAATGTTGAAGATAAATTTTGGTTTGACTGTGTGTATTCACACAGGAACTGTTATAGAAGTCATGTTTGAAGCAAGAAACAATATGGAAACATAAAATTGTAAAAAGGATTCTAAATAAAATATGACAATATAATAAAATGCTTTGTAATAATGACAGCCACTGACGCTGCAACATTACCCAGCTAACAGGGCACGTTCCCACAATGCATGTTATGTGAAGCGTTCTTTACATTAAATTTATAGAACATTCTTATCATTAATATTTGATATGCATTTTCATGGTGCTGAGAGAAATCGTTCTTATAACAACATTCTTGAAACATGTTAATGGTGTTTGCTCTTAAATATTCTCTATGTTAACAGGAAATGTCCTTAAAACAACAATATTAATTCTTATGTTGTTGACTTTTGCTATTCCTTGAACATTCTTGGAATGTTACAAATAAACATTCAAAGAACGTCGAACTGCGAGTAAAAAAATACTAACATGATCGTATGAAAGACATTTCAGAAACACTGTCAATCACTCACTATTCACGCTTTCAGAACATGAAGTGTTAGCTGGTTTAGACACAAACAAACACAAAGACTCGGACTTTTTAATGTCAGTTCAGTCTTGGGGTCCACAGAGCGTGTTCACCAGAGAAAGGAGAGGGGTTTAGTGGTCCACAGTCGCTCGGTACCATCAGACCAGTGCCACTGAAACCACTTTATTATGCTTTAGCTGTCTGCCATACTGCGCGGCTTTATTTATGGGGGTTTGGAACATTTGGAGAATCAAATAAAAGCAAATGATAGAAGCGTGTTAAAATGTCATACATACTACAATGCCTCCTTAAATGTCACGTTTATGTATTATTACTGAAATCGTGAAATGGTCGTGTTTGTTTTCACATGTAATGACCGATCGTGTTCTCTGTTACCTCGCGTGAGCGTCCAGCGCCGGAAGCGTTTCTCACTGTCAAACTCTCGCGAGACTCACACATGCCGATATGCATCAAATACTGGATACGTCCTGCAGAGACTTGTAAATTGAAGTAGTTTGCTACTTTGCTGAAGAGGTCGGGTAAAATCACCTGACGTTATGCTGCTACGTCTGTGTGTGTGTGTGTGTGTGTGTGGACAACTCTGTTTAGGCACGTCGATCGCGTTGGGCGTCAAAGGCACAAGAAGTGACGCCTTCAACAGTTGTTAACAAAATAGAGAACTTCCCAGTTAACAACATGTTCGTATTTTTTAATGTTCTTTTCTTTGTGTTAAATGTTTAAAAACGTTCTTGGTTGTGCAATGAACAACTGACGTTTTGGGAACACCATTAGATACTATAAATAAAGACTAAGACCATTTCACAAGATGTAAACAACACTGGTCCAGAAGCGCTTCCTGTTTCAGTTTTTTAACACTACATAAAAGCTGGGATAAAATACAACCAACAGAACATTTAAAACTGAATCAAAAAGTTAAACAAACGTCTTTAAGATGTTTTCTTTACATGTGAAATAAAGAAAACAGTTACAAACTGAAACAGGAAGTGTCTCTGGACCAGTGTTGTTTACATCTTGTGAAATGGTCTATAGAGACTATAAAGAAGTGGGCAAGTCTGAAGAAGACCCTCATCAGATTTTAAACCAGGTGTAAATGTCTCATAGTCTTGTAAATCCTCTGTATGTCAGATGTCTGCAATCTCAGAAGGCTTGTGCTCATGCAAGAGTCTGGAGAACTCTTATAACATTTGAATAACATTTGCCTCAACAAAATTCAAATAAGTTTGTGTTGCTTGATGATAATGTCCGCCTCACGAGCCCGCAGCATCGACAGGCAGCCCTCCTCACTTCCGGCCCGCGAGCTTAGCTGTGTGTCGTCACGTCCTGTGTCCTGGAGCTCAGAGAAGATGGCGGCTGTTGCAGTGAGCTCTGACGGAGGCGTCGCGTCGCTGGACTCGGACTCGCTGTCGCCGCGCGTTCCCTCTCCGCCACCGGACCAGCCGCACCAGAACAACGCGCTGCTGGGACTCCCGATCGTGGCCATCGACACCATCCTCAACTTCCTCTCGTACGACGAGATCAGTCTCCTGCGGCTGGTGAGGAAAACAATGAGCTGGACTGCAGTGGAACGGGCTGCGTCTCAACACTCGGCCAGTGCACTGCAGTCTCACTGCCTAGTGAGCGAGCGTGCGCGCTCCCTACAATCACGGCATTTATGGAAGATTGTTCCCGCCACGGAATAAAAAAAATACGACTTTTAAATTGCACAATTTTGACTTTTTTTTTTTTACCCCCCTCACAAATTTGTTTATCTCGCAACTCTGATTCTCACAACTGCGAGATATACACTCATAATTGCGAGATACAAACGAGGCAGAATTGTGTGAGAGAAACGTTTTCAATTGCAAGAAAAATTTAATTGTGAGAATAGAACTTTTTTCATCCGTGGCCGCTAAAAAAGAAAAGGAAAACAATATTTGTGAGATGTGTGTTCAGAACTAACGTTATAGGCCTAAACTCGCAATTATGAGTTAAAGTAAAACCTTTTCCGTGTCGGAAAGCTTCCATGTGATAGTCTTGAACATTATCATATAGAAATGTCTATGGTCTTGAAGACAACAATCGTTGTTATTGTAAAAATAGTACAACATCAGTGGAACGGGCTGCGTCTCAACACTCGCCTAGTGCACTGCAGTCGCTGCCTGTAGTGAGCGAGTGAGCGCGCGCTCCCTAGAGGCATTACCGGCCGCGTAATCTGGTTCCTGCTACATATTTTTTTGTTGTTTTTTTTCAAAACAATATTACTTTTTCCCCCTCTACATAATTTATTGGTCAAATCTGTTTTCCCTCTCCGAATTGCGAGATATAAACTCATAATTGTGAGGTAAAATCAAGTCCGACTCTGAATTGTGTGAGAGAAACGTTTTCAGTTGGAAGAAAAATAATTAAGAGCTAATATAATAAAGAACTTTGAGATCTAAGTTCAGTTTAAGATCGTATGATATTTGCAATTGTGATATCAAAATGTACAATAACATTTGTAAAAAATAAATAAATAAATGTCTAATTTTTTTAAAATTGTAAATTCAGTTTATGATTTAGGTTGCAATTACCTTTTTATATCGTTTGGCCGCAAAAAACAAAAAAAAAAACAACAACAGAATAATTGTGAGATTTAGGTTAAGATCAGTTTAATAGGCTCAATATTAACTCAATTGTTAAATTAAAGTATTTTTTTTTAAATCCGTGGCAGAAACAAGCTTCCATGTGAAGTCAACGATCATTGTTATTGAAAAATATTATCGCGTATACATGTATTAGATGTATGACTGACTATTAATTATAAAATGAAACAGATTTGATTTTCCTGTTTTATGGATAAGCTTATATGGATTTATTATTTATTATTATTATTTAAAAAAAAAGTCTCAAGATGAAATCTCGTGTCACACGACTGCGTTCCCAAACGCCAGCATCCGAACGTTCATTAATGTTTATTAGAAGACTGGCTGAACATTTAAAGGAATAGTTTGCCGGGAAGGTCTTCAGCTTGAGGTCCTCTCCATCTAAACTGGTCATATCTCTGAAGCCTTACAGTGAATGTTAAATGAGCAGCAGAATAACATCTCTCTTTTAGTTATGAGAGAGAACCATGTTCATCCGCAGAGCCAAACACGACCGAAACAATGTTCTTCCACAAAAAGCATGCAGTTTCCTTTTTTAACCATTAGAGGGACAATGTTTAGAGGGTCTTCTGCACGTCAGCTTTTAACGAGGAGGGTGTTTGGATTTGGCGCTCAGCCATCGCGTCTCTGTTATGTGCACGCCACAGATGCTCCGGCCACTGCCGGACTTCCACCTTTCAGAGTTACGTCTTTACCATTGTGTCAACATTACGTTTTTATTAAAAAAAAATGTTTTTTTTTAATTAAAATTTTTGATGTTTGTGATTCGATTCAAAATCGTCCACGTCAGCATCGCAATGCATCTAAGAATCGATTCCCCCCGTTTTTATGCCACATTTGCTTTTGTTAACACTCTCGAGTAGGTTTAGGGTTTAATGTAAGGTTTAGCATTGGAGAATGCATTAATATTATCTCCTGATATGATTGTGAAGCGCTTTGTATGTACAGTAGCACATGTATGAAAGCGCTGTATAAATGCCTCAGTCATTCATGCATATTAAGTGTGTATGTGTCGTCATTTGAGACTGTTTTCTTTTTGCAGGTGTGCAAACGCATGGATGTGATCTGTCAGCGCATGCTCAATCAAGGCTTCCTGAAGGTGGAGCGATATCACAGTCTGTGCCAGAAGCAGGTGAAGGCCCAGCTGCCCAGGTGAGACCACTAGCCCCGCGATCGCTCGCTTCTACACTCGCTAGCCCCGCTATCGCTTGCCACTACACTAGCTAGCTCTGCAATCACTCGCCTCTACACTAGCTAGCCCCACGATCGCTCGCTTCTACACTCGCTAGCCCCACGATCGCTCGCTTCTACACTCGCTAGCCCCGCTATCGCTTGCCACTACACTAGCTAGCTCTGCAATCACTCGCCTCTACACTCGCTAGCCCCACGATCGCTCGCCTCTACACTCGCTAGCCCCGCTATCGCTTGCCACTACACTAGCTAGCTCTGCAATCACTCGCCTCTACACTAGCTAGCCCCACGATCGCTCGCTTCTACACTCGCTAGCCCCACGATCGCTCGCTTCTACACTCGCTAGCCCCGCTATCGCTTGCCACTACACTAGCTAGCTCTGCAATCACTCGCCTCTACACTAGCTAGCCCCACGATCGCTCGCTTCTACACTCGCTAGCCCCACGATCGCTCGCCTCTACACTCGCTAGCCCCGCGATCACTCGCCTCTACACTTGCTATCCCAGCGATCGCTCGCCTCTACACTAGCTAGCCCCGCGATCGCTCGCCTCTACACCTGCTATCCCAGCGATCGCTCGCCTCTACACTAGCTAGCCTCACGATCGCTCGCCTTCTACACTTGCTATCCCAGCGATCACTCGCCCTCACACTAGCTAGCCCCGCGATCGCTCACTTCTACACTTGCAGCCCCGCGATCGCTCGCCTCTACACTAGCTAGCCCCGCGATCGCTCACTTCTACACTCGCTAGCCCCGCTATCGCTCGCCTCTACACTCTACACTCGCGATCGCTCGCCTCTACACTAGCTAGCCCCGCGACCGCTCGCTTCTACACTCGCTAGCCCTGCTATCGCTCGCCTCTACACTCGCGATCGCTCGCCTCTACACTCGCTAGCCCCGCGATCGCTCACTTCTACACTCGCTAGCCCCGCTATCGCTCGCCTCTACACTCTACACTCGCGATCGCTCGCTTCTACACTCGCTAGCCCCGCATCGCTCGCCTCTACACTCGCGATCGCTCGCCTCTACACTAGCTAGCCCCGCGATCGCTCGCTTCTACACCCGCTATCCCCGCGATTGCTTGCCACTACACTAGCTAGCCCCACGATCGCTCGCCTCTACACCCGCGATCGCTCGCTTCTACACTTGCTAGCCCCGCGATCGCTCGCTGGAAAAAAACATGATGTCATCATCCAGCTGAGTTCAGTTCTCATATAATGGTGTCAATGCAGGAGATCAATAATATTGTTGAATATTAAATTAAATTTAAGTGTGTTCATGTGAGTTATCGGTAAAGTGGAGCCACGTCCCACGTCCAGTATCAGTTCTTGATGATGTTCGCTAATGAAAGCTGTGCATGTGTGACTGTTCTCCCATTAGGAGGGAATCTGAGCGCAGGAATCACTCGCTGGCTCGGCACGCAGACATCCTGGCGGCGGTGGAGACCCGCCTGTCCCTGCTCAACATGACCTTCATGAAATACGTCGACTCCAACCTCTGCTGCTTCATTCCTGGAAAGGTACATGTGCATCTCTGTTTCGTCAGCTAGAGCTGGACAGGTAAAGGGTTCGTTCACACTAAACTGTAAACTCTGTCAGTAATTACTCGCCCTCATGTTGTTCAACCCCGTAAGACTTTCGTTCATCTTCGGAACACAAATTAAGATGTTTGTGATTAAATCTGAGAGCTGGATCACTGAAAGACAAATTAAAATTTTACAAATTTTAAAATAGTCCGAGTGACTACAGCGGCTCAACCTTAAGTTTATCAAGTGACGAGAATACTTTCTGTGCGCAAACAAAAATAACGACTTTATTCTTTATTAACTCTTTATCTTCTTCTGTGTCTTTACTAACTTTCTGGGCCGGCAAGTTTCAATTACAGAGAGGCCTATGGAGGAGAGATCCAGCGCTCAGATTTAATCAGAAATATCTTAATGTGTTTCCTGAAGATGAACGGAAGTCTTACAGCGTGTCCTAACTACAACATAGTTAATCAGAGTGTATGTGCTAGCCAGCTGCGACACGCGACTCTATTTTAGAAACAGTTTCTGTTTTTCTGCGACGTCGCAAAAGTGGCGATGATGATCTCAGGCACTTTTAATGTGCTTTAGTAAATGTTAAAGCGTGTCATGTGACTGTAAAAGCAACAGTGGATAATTCACCTCAGATCTTGAAATTAAACAAATGGAAACAAGAACGTTCAAACGGTGAACGAACAAGTGTATTCTTTGACACGCATTGTGTAGTAACTCGGTAGCATGTGTTTGAATAACGTTCAAATAGGGTAATATTTGTGAATTTGATGTACTTCATGTTCAGTTCTGCGAGACTCCGTCCACACACTGCTCTGATTGGCTGGAATCTTATCTTATCGCGTCGGGTTATGGGCATGAGGAGAGTAGTTACTGACAGTTTTCATTGTTGGGTGAACAAACCCTTTAATCATCTCGATTCAAACACTTATGTGATAACGGCGATTCAGCTGTCTATTAAACCTTTGATTAGTCGATCACAGGAACTTCTAGATCTCTGATCCAGAGAGCCGTTGTCATGAATAGCTATGAAAGCGAGCAGATATGACATTTCTGTCTGACTATCGTTCAGATTATGACTGTTCATAACACTAAAAAGTTCAAATGTGTTTCGTGAGAGCAGCAGTGCCGCATAACGAGTGTGTCTCTATATCTATAGACGTTTTTAGCAACGGAATTGTCAGACATCCATTAACCTCAGTGCATGCGAGGAAACCAATTGGAAATGCAGCGCTGGTTGTTCTCTCCATACTCGACAACGACGGAGTCCAGCGGCGCGGGCGAAGGTATAATTCGTGTATTAAATTGTATAAAATAATCCTGAAAAAGCACAAACACGGCAGAGATGACAAGTACAGCAGCGGGAGGGTGACGCCAACGCTAATCCACCTGTCACTCAAGTGGCCACGCCCTTAATTATGCAGGCTTAATATAATTTAAACGGATGAGTTTTGTGAAGGGCAAACTAAGCAATAAAGACCAAAACCACTTTTTGCTTCAGGCTGTAAACATGTTTTTTTCTGCTGTGAAGTTGGGCATGTTAAAGGAGTAGTTCACTTTAAAAAAAACTTTTACTGATAATTTACTCGCCCCCATGTCATCCAAGATGTCCATGTCTTTCTTTCTTCAGTCGAAAAGAAATGAAGGTTTTTCCAGGATTTTCTCCATATAATGGACTTCAATGGGAACCAAACGGTTCAAGGTCCAAAAGACAGTTTCAGTGCAAACTGTTCAAAGGGCTTTAAACGATTCCAGACGATGAATAAGGGTCTTATCAAGCGAAACGATCGCTCATTTAATAAATAAACAACAAAGTTTAAGTTTTATAAGCTCAAACGCTCGCCTTGCTCTGTTCTGTGACGCACGTTCGTGACTCTCCTGTTCGACTCGTTCATCAAAATGAACACATCTTTTCCCGAGTCATTTGGTTAATTCAACGAACGAAATGAACGAATTGACTCAGGAAAAGATTTGTTTATTTCAGGGTGTCATTTAAAGCCCTTTGAACAGTTTGCACTGAAACTGTCTTTTGGACCTTGAACCGTTTGGTTCCCATTGAAGTCCATTTTATGGAGAAAATCCTGGAATGTTTTCATCAAAAACCTTAATTTCTTTTCAACTGAAGAAAGAAAGACATGGACATCTTGGATGACATGGGGGCGAGTAAATCATCAGCTAAATTTTTTTTTTTTTTTTTTTTTAAAGTGAACTACTCCTTTAATGCAGGTTTGACTCACTTCTGCAGCATGAATTACAGTTTAATTCACTTCCGTGTTGGTTTCAAGAGACAGACGGGGAGGTTGCCGCTTGGTTAAAACAGTTTTTTTTTATAATTTAAATCAACATTAAACATTTTTAAATAGACTGCAGCCATATACATGTTGTCACTTTGTCAAAAAGCTCTTGTAAATTACTTAATTTTGTTTAGTTTTTCATTCTGAAGCGTGATCTATATTTTGAAACAAAAAAAACAATTGTGATTGTGAATTTATCCAGTCACTAAACGAGCCGAATGTGTTTGCAGACATCTCAGCGTGTGTGTTGCTAACAGTGAGCCTTAGGGTTAACTCACACGAGGATGAAGGGCTCATGGTCTGAAACAATCAGCCTTTAGTTGAGCATCTTTAGTCATCTGACAGTGATCAGGGTCATGAAGAACGCATGCTAATCTTGGGGTGTGTCGTGGCTCAAACCTTTCTTGAGGAAGTGCAGAAGGGATTATGCAAAAGTCTTCAAAGCACGAATGGCATTAGGCCTGAAGCAGTGAATGCAAATCAAGTGTTTGTCTTCTGTGTGACAGAGATTATGAGATTTGCTGTCATCAGGTTCAAGAGATTTCATTGAAACGAAACCGAAAACGTTTTTATTGGTAGCAGGGTGTGATTGCTTTTGTTCTGTCTGGATGTCTAACAACAGCAGTATGTTAAACGTTTTATTGAAAAAAATGTCTATTTTTGTCATAAATATTTTTGTTTTGACACCCACATCAGCGCCACGATTGCATTTATGAAGGCTATTTTTACAACATGCTAAAACAGACTAGTAACATGGTAAAACATGTGAACAAATTGCTAGACGCATGCTGACAATGTTAGCAACACTCGTTAGCAACATTAAACATGTAAGAAACATGTTAAAAATGTCTTGAATCATTGTGAAACATGTCATCAACGTCATGCTAGCAACACGTTAACAATGTGCTAATTCATGCTAGGGCACTAAACCATGTTAGAAACACGCTAGCGATGTGTTAATTGTTGCTAGCATAAATTAGCACCGTGTTAAGATGATTTAACACGGTTAAGTTATGATAGAAACATGTTTATTCATGATAGAAACATGTTATATGTATTAAATCATGCAAGCAACATGTTAAAACATGCTATGTGTTAATTCAGGTTAGAAACGAGCTTCCCTAGCAACCACACAATACTCTGGCAAAACTTGGTGATTCGCTCTGAGTGAGTTATTTGACTGTTGTTTTCTGCCCCCTGGAGGTGATCGATGAGATTTACCGTGTTTTGCGGTATGTCAACTCCACGCGTGCGCCGCAGCGAGCGCACGAGGTGCTTCAGGAGCTGCGCGACATCTCCTCCATGGCCATGGAGTATTTCGATGAGAAGATCGTCCCCATCCTGAAGAAGAGGCTTCCCGGTGCCGATCTCTCCGGCCGCCTGATCGGATCCGCTCCGGGTACGACTGCGTTTAAAGACTCACAAATAACTAATCTTGACATTTGTATTTATTTATCCAAAACTCAAATGATTAGCAGAGCATGAAGTGGCTTTCTTCTGGATCATTGTCCAAAAACAGCACTAGTTTTTTTTTCTTTCTTTCAGGAACTGTCAGTGCGCGGTAGCGCTTTTTCTCCCAAATCTCATATATTCGTAATCATTATAAATTAGGTCTCATTGGAAAGCTTAAACGCTCAGTTTTGAAATTGGACACCGCATTATCATGCTTAAAAATCTTTTAGCAGGCTCCTCCCCCTGTGGGCGGTGTCATATTTAAAATTTAACTGCACTATTTAAACTTGACAGAACACATTGATGGAAAGATCTTGCTGTTTCGTGATAGAAGTGGCAGAAATACTTTAATTTATTTTTTGGTAAAACGCCTAAATAAAATCCCATAGGAACCTCAATTTTTGTGATGTCAACTTCAAATTTGGAACCCAGCTTGGTTAGACAAATCTTTCATTTTCCACCAATTTTAGAGTCTTAAGTTCGTTTTTTAAATATCTATTTAGTATAAAATATATATATTTTTTTACATTTTCATTTGTTTTACAAAATAATTCTACAACGTTTTTACACTTTCATTTTTTGAGGTGCTTCAAATATTTCCGTTTATGCTCAAAAAGTGAGATTAAATGGTTAAACCATTTTAAATGGCAGTGTTTTAATCCAAACTGTTTCTAAACTTGACAGAACGCATATTTGTGACTTGAGGCTCCACATTTGGCCGCTGTTTCGTGATAGAAGTGGCAGAAATGCTTTAATTTATTTTTTGGTAAAACGCTTAAACAAAATCCCATAGGAACCTCAATTTTTGTGATGTCAACTTCAAATTTGGAACTCAGCTTGGTTAGACAAATCTTTGATTTTCCACCAATTTTAGAGTCCAAGTTAGTTTTTTAAATATCTATTTAGTATAATATATATACATATATATATATAAATACACTGCTCAAAAAAATTAAGGGAACACTTAAACAACAATGTAAAGAAAAAAGTATTTAATAAGATTATTTAATTCATTCAGATCTATGATGTGTTATTTTAGTGTTCCCTTTATTTTTTTGAGCAGTGTATTTTTTTGTACATTTTCATTTGCTTTACAAAAAAATTCTACGTTTTTACACTTTCATTTTTTGAGATGCTTCAAATATTTCCGTTTATGCTCAAAAAGTGAGATTAAATGGTTAAACCATTTTAAATGGCAGTGTTTTAATCCAAACTGTTTCTAAACTTGACAGAACGCATATTTGTGACTTGAGGCACCATATTTGGCCGCTGTTTCGTGATAGAAGTGGCAGAAATACTTTACTTTTTGGTAAAACGCCTAAACAAAATCCCATTGGAACCTCAATTTTTGTGATATCAACTTCAAATTTGGAACCCAGCTTGGTTAGACATATCTTTGATTTTCCACCAATTTTAGGCCAATTTCTTCTTTAAAATATGTATTAAATATAAAAATAAAATTGCTTTTTTTGTATATTCTTTAGTGCATTTTTTTTTCTTTTAATTTGCTGTAAAACTTTTTCCTGCATTCATTTTTCAAAGCGCTTCAAATACTCACATGTACACAGTTTTACCTGTCAGTGTTTGTAACCCGTCTGGCTCTGTCCCGCAGTGGCCGGTCCCTCCACCTCTCTGACCACCATGTCCCTGTTGGCCAAAAACACCCCGTCGCGGTCGGAGATGACGAAGGTGCAGCAGCAGGTGAAGGTGAACGGGGCGTCGGTGGCGGCCCTGCGGCGGGAGATGCAGGAGGTGCGCGTCAAGCAGCTGGAGCAGCAGAAGCAGCTGCAGGACCAGGAGCAGAAGCTGCAGGAGCAGTCGCAGGTGATCGGGGAGCAGAACGCCCGGCTGGCCGAGCTGGAGCACAAGCTCAGGGAACTGATGGACAGTGCGGTGGGCTCCACCTCCTCCTCCTCCGCCGCCGCTGCCCCAGCCGTGTCCTCTTCATCCGGCGTGGGTCCGGTGTCGGCCGAGGGCGAGAGCGCCCTGTGTCTCAAACGCCCCCGCAAGTGCTCGGACCTCCCACGCCACTCCAAACGCCTGCGCAGCAAGAAATAGAGGGTTTCGTCTGTACTTGTGTTTTTTCTTTTTTTGCTTCCTTAAAGCTATATACTTTTTTTTTTTTCCTCAACCTACGATGACGCACGCGAGTATGACGTGGAGATGAAAAGCTCATTGGGGGGGAGGGGGGTATCTTTTTGTTTTATCAGACACGTATTACACTAATATGCGTTGACTTCTGTTTCTAAAGGTCGAGGATTTGCCTTTAATGTTTACCCAACCTTCATGCCAACATTGAGACATTGCAAGAAGCTTTAGTCAATCAACCGCAAGAACGTTTCGAGGAAAGGGTGAACCTGAAGAGACGGCCGTAGCTTCAACCATAAAGTCATTCGTTTAACTGTGTACGAAGTGAAGACTTTAGACCCCCTTCTTGAAATGGAGAACGCGAGGTGCTCGACACCTGACTGCTAAGTTATATTGTTATATAAATGGTAAATATCAGCTTGGTTCTGTGTTCTGAGAGGGAAGGACTTCCTCTGAGATGTGCCTGGACGTGTGAGCGAGTCGTGGTCTTGCAGACGTCTGCAGCTGTAGCATACATGAGTATATTGTTTGTCTGAAGATCGTCCATCACTGAGAATGGTGTCTTGTAGGTGTCAATGCCATGTTGTACCTGCCACTGTTTGTAGGTGTATAATTTACTGCAAATAGATCTGTGTCAGTGCAATAAAAATTGTGGAAAGCCTTGTTACTAGGAAAGTAAATGATTGATGTTCAAGTTCGTTTATGCCTCCAAGGCACTTTTTTTACTAACCTGATGCTTTTACTTGGTCATTCCAGCGGCGAAGATTCAGTGTGTTCCCGAAGCACGATATCGCCTTTCCTTCTTAATTCCTCGAGGACTTTAGGCCAGATCTCTCTTACTTGGGTCTGGGTCATCTTTGAGGCTTTTACTTCAACAACTGTTGCCTGGACTGTGGAAACGGGCCGACTGGAGGAACTGCAGGGCAAATTGACCAGATTGGTGGGAAGTTAGAGGGAGATAAATTGGGAGTTTTGTGATCGGGATGATGCAGGGCAGATTATTATAGAAGCTTGCTTCTGCCACGTAACGAAAAATAACTGTCTTACAATTCTGACTTTTCATTTTCAAGTTTATATCTCTCAATAATAAAAGTCTGAATTGCGAGATAAACTCGCATTTAAAAGGGTAATTGTTAATTATCTCACAATTCAGATTTTGTTCTTGTAATTCTGAGTTTCTCACTATTTTCTCAAAATATAAACTCCATTAAAGGTAATTCTGACTTTTATTCAATAGCAAGTTTCTCACAATTCTTTTTGACCAGATTTTTCTCAGAATAAAAACTCAAAAAATGGAAATTTCAAGATATATATATATTTGATAACACTATAATAAGGTTCATTAGTAATGAACAATACTTCTTCAGCATTTGTTAATCTTTGGTAATGTTAATTTCAACATTTACTAATACGTTATTAAAATCTTGTAACATTAGTTAATGCCCTGTGAACTAACATGAACAATGAACAGCTAGATTTGTATTAACTAACGTTAACAAAGAATAACAAATACAGTAACAAATGGTTAGTTCATGTTAGTTAATGAATGAACTAATGTTTAATAAACGAACCTTATTGTAAAGTGTTACCATATATTCTTTTAAGGTCAGATTTGCATTAAACTGTTGTAAAAAAAGTATGAATTGCAAGAAAGTCAGATTTGTAAAATAAACTTAAAATTCCAAGGAAAAGGTCTGAATTGAGATTTATGTATATATGAAGAGTTCAGATGCAAAAGCCTCTAAGTGCCATTTGAAATTTTCTTCTAGAATGATAATTTTTATCAAGCTTGTATATTTAAGTTGAGTGATTTCACTTAAATGGCAATGATAATTATCTATTAATTGTTATTTAAGTGAAATTACTGAACTTAAATATACAAGTTTGATAAAAAATCATCATTAAAGAAGAAAATTTCAAATGGCATTTAGAGGCTTTTGCATCTGAACTCTTCATATATATATATATATATATATATTAGGGGTTTCATCAACTAGTCACAACCACTAGTTGGCGCTGTTGGCCTTAGTCGACTTGTCGGAAACAAAATGATGACATACATATACATACATATATATACATAAATATATAAATGGACAATTACAAGAAAAAGTCAGAATTATCTTTTCATTGCTGGTTTATATCATGCAATTCAAACTTTTTTCTTTCGAAGAAACTCAGAATTGCGAGATATAAACTTAATTCTGAATTTTCTGGCAATTCTGACTTGTATCTCAGAATATGAACTCACAATTGGCTTTATGCACAGTTGCACTACTTCCTGAACTTCAGCCAGGTCCTTGTTTCCCGTCTGCCATTATTGGGTAAAATTGATTAATTCAGGTGTGTCTGATTATTGTTGCCATGACTACTGAGGTTAAGCACACCTGAATTAATCAATTTGACCAATAATGACACAGGAAACAAGGAGCTGGCTGAAGTTCAGGAAGTAGTGCAGCTGTGCATAAAGCCCATTGGGAGAAGAGTTATAATTCCATTTTTCTTTTTTATTCTGTGGCATAGACAAGCTTCTATAGATCAGACCCTGCAGATCTGAACTTCTTGCCAAATCTCATACTGAGTATGTTGTAAATGTTTGCCTGTATCATTGCAAGCTGTTCTGGTGTGTTTCTGTCATTAGACACCAAACTGAATTGCAAGATGATGGTTTTAATAATGAACCGCTTTCTTCATTGTTTGGTCAAACCGGCTCAAACTTCACGTCAGCCTGTGCATGCTTTACTTTACTCTTTAAACTTGGAGACGAGGAAGTGTTTCAACACTGGGGGAAAATACTAAACCATGACACTTTACCTGAAAGTAAACATCAGAATGCATTGTTTGCATATTTCTCTGACGCTCAGGGATGGACTGCACTTGAGACCTACCCGTCTCTATTATACAGAGTGAATCTGCAGTATTTTGTAATGGAAGCCACGCTTTGCAGTGAATGAATGAAAGGAACTGACATTAAAAATAAAGTAATTGCAAGATAATACACTAACAAAACACGATTGCAAAATATAAAGCCGTAATGACAAGAAATAGTTAAAATAATGAGATAAAATCACGGCATTGTCAGTTCGTCCCCTTTAAGTCTGGGTATTCAGACAACAGAGGCACTGAACACAATAATATTAATAATGCATTTCATTTATTTCGCTACAAAAACAAGAAACAAAGGTTAAAAAAAGAGAAATACAGACCTAATACAATAAATATAGTAAAATTACAATGGATGACGCAACACCCTACAGAAATGCTAGATCGGATGAATCAGGATACGCTATTTTAAAAAGATGGGGTTTTAACAGTGCTTAATGTGGGAACATTTCTGACAGAAACAGGAAGTGCATTTCTGACAGAAACAGGAAGTGCATTTCATAGCCTAGGGGTTGCAGAAGAAACGCACAGATGTTATTCTGCTAGTGCTGACGAGAGAGAGAACTTGAAGTTAACAATGCAAATTTCAAGTGATTACATTGAGAAATCTCCAGCTAGTGTTTCTCAGGACTGTGTTCGCTCATTAAAACGATTCGGTTTTTCCTGTGATATCCGTCCCTCCCTGCATCTCCACATCCCAGAAAGTCAACATGAGGAGTTCAGATAACGCTGATGAAAGGTTTGGTAGTTTACGGCATGACATCACTGGAGACCGCTAGAGAAATGGTGACTACTTCCCTTTCTGACACTAAAGGCTGGAGAATAAACTCAGAGAGGAACATCGATCTGTGACGAGGAATTGTAAACCTGTTTATTTAAAGATCACACAAATAAACTCACGTACTCCTGAGACTGAAAGAAGAAGAAAGATTGACACCAAATGAAGAAACTAGCTTCCTGTCTTTGATCCCGTGGATGGATGGCTTGTCTCAATTTTATTTTAGTTGTGTTTTTTCACACACACAAACTGATTTTGCTTCTGCCATTGGTTTGTCTTGAGATGCACAACCAGTAATAATAATAACCAACAGCATTGACCCTTCTCATAGGGTACATATCATGCTTTTAAATCATTCATTTTTCCATATAAATCATACCGTTGTGGTCTGCATAACTGCAATGCTTGGGTCTGAATTCCTCATTATTATAGCTCCACAAGCCCCTTTTCTGATGTGCGTCTGTGAGCGACCCGTTTCAAAGCGGCCCCTTTAAATAAAAAGGAGATGCGTCACACCCCGCCCGCTCTCCAGGTCCATGAGTTCACGGTAGGTTCAACTCCCCACGTTCGGCCATTATTGTAGTTTGATTAGAGATATACGATTATATACGATACCTTCAAAGAACATTTTTATTCACACGTTAATAAAATGTCAACAACAGAAGACTTGTCCATCAAGCCTTACATATTCGAGCCAGAGCGAGCGAGTTGATAAAGACGACGACGAACCTGCAGAACAACGTCTTCATATGGATGTATTGGTATGTGAGTTAACTGTTTTGTGTTATTAGTGAAAGTCGACTATTTCTCTGGTAAAACAAGCACACTGACAAGATAAATGACTACGGTCTAATATTACCACAAACAATCTGTATTGATAATATGATACGTTTAGAAAAGCAGCTAAATGAGCATTGATGAAACTCGAGAACAATAATACTGCAGACGTGTAACGTTACTTCAAAACTAAAACAAAGAAAGACAAAGGTACTGCTAAACCATGACCACCATGTGTTTTAAGAAAGTGAAGTACTTTATTTGTATTAACGATATTTACAGCTTATCGAAACGCTCTGTTCATCGTCTCCAAAGATAGAAGGAATTTACCTCTCATTCAGACGAAGTCGATCGGCAAACCCTTCTTTATACTGGCGGAGGTTGTTGAAGTGGGAATCCTTGAAGTGCTTCAGGTCACTAACGTACATCCAACAACCGAACATTTTGACTTTCCCTCTCGTAACTTCTGCATCATTGAGCTCGGACTACAAAATCGGAGCGAGAAATAATAATGGCGGATTGCTGGAAGTGTTGGGCCGGTAGTCCATGTCCTTATTTGGCAGTTCTGCTGCAAATACGGTGACGTGATAGTTCAAAAAACGTCATAGAAAACAGAAAAATCTGAACAGGTTGAAAAATATGACCAAAACAGAATATAAAGATATAAACGAAGCACCTGAAGAGAATAATTTCATCTTTTCTGTACTTATAAACACTCCAAATCAGGGCCGTGCACAGGGGGGTGGCCCGGTGGCTAGAGCCACTGCCCCTCTGCCCTCATCGACTGAGGTGCCCCTCCTGCCCACCTGCTCCGCTTTGCTCAAAGGTTTTCCCGCTCGCTCCACAGTCCGCACTCCACAGCGTCTGCGGCCCTCTCTTGAAACTGATTGAATACGACAGTTCACGAAAGCTGTTGCATTAACAGGTAGGCTACAAGACTATTGTTTCCGCCACAGAATGAAAAATTAAAAAAAAGGCAATTGCAACTTTTTATCTCACAATTCTTACTTTTATTCTCAGAATTATTAATTATGAAGTCACATTTGCGTGATATAAAGTCAGAATTGGGTGTTATAAAGTCACAATTGCGTGTTATAAAGTCAGAATTGCGAGATATAAAGTCAGAATTGCGAGATATAAAGTCAGAATTGCGAGATATAAACTATTCTGAGGGGAAAAAGTTAGTATTTTTTTCTCCTTAGACTTGGCTTGAGACTCGCAATTGCGAGTAGGCTATATATCTTACAATTCTGAGAAAAGA